ACACGGAAGACTACCGTGTTGTTGTTATTTTATAAAACAATTACTTTATGGTTTCCGTGTTTGGATGGACTGATCCAAACACTTGGGAATGTTGCTCTTTTCTTAACTCTCGCAACATTCCCGCGTGTTTGGATCAGGCCATCCAAACACGGAAACCATAAAGTAATTGTATAAGAATGTTACAAGGTTGACGACACAAGGTTGTAACAACATTGTTATATCATGACTTGTTGGAACAACCTTGCAACAGGTCTGATAATATCAACATGGTTGTTACAAGTTGTTCCAAACTTGTTAACAACTTGGGACAAGCGGTGCGAACACAACTTGTTGGCAGATTTGCTACAAGATATGAGATTTTTTTATGTTAAAATATGCCTCTATTTTTCATATTGAATATTTCACGAGTGTTTTTTCTTGGCGAAATGAGAAAAATTTCACGCCAAACGAATTAGTTTAGCTTAGATTTCCTCCTGGTAAAGGATGCACCTTGCTGGATCTCTAGCGAGAACAGTTCAGAACTGATAGAGCTGTTCAGTGTAGATGAAGTTAATTCATTCGTTTATATGTGCTTGTTTTGTTTAGTGCAATGCATCTCTTAACACGAAGGCTAATACACATGAAAACTACAAAGAGTACAAGAAACGACTTATTCATGTATCAGTTGTTAGTCCAGATGGCGGGAAGCTTGTGATAACACGTAATCATAGCACGTAAGTATAACTCATTGAGCTATATTTATTATTCTAGCGACATCTCAAGTAATTATTGGAAAATGAGCCGTAATAAGCCATATACCCGAGTTTCCCCCCAAAAAGTAACACGTTTTGATTTCATATAACAGAAAAACTAGAACAGCTATCACAATCAAATGAATTTTTATCGCATCCAGAAAGGGCTAACTATAATTTTTGATATATTACAACCGAACAAGATTTTTATGCAATGTTAACTGAGATATCAATTATATTTGAAAAAAATATGATGTACATGCATTTTTTTACCACAACCAAAGCGATTTGGCAAGCTTATCAATGCAGATACAATTTTAAATTGATAGGTCATTTTATGCAAATTTTTAGCGTTAAAAATGCTTTGTTCGATTTATATGCTATGTTAAATCAAATCTGCTATATTAAATCAAACAGTATTTTTTGGGACACCCCACTCCTTGACCCTTGAAACTTACTTTTTCTTACGTTGTAGAATAAAAGATATGTTGGCCGAATCTGTGACAATAGCAAATAAA